AAATGAAAATGGACCAGATTTATAGTTAATGCGCATTATAGGACCTTGCGGTGGTTTTACTTCGAGTCATTCACTAACTATTATCGAGACAAATTGTATAATCCAGGGAAAAATTGGATCCCCAAAAGACACCATTTCCTCAATAGCGTCCTTTTTAAATACTTAATAATAATATGTTGATTTCAATGCAAGAAAGCCACAGTGCTGATATATGTATGATTATAATAATAAATAAGGTATTTTGAAAGTTATTGTCATTGAAAGTACAAATTATATAAAGTATTTAGGATTATATATTATATATGTATATTTATTTAAAATGCAATTATCATATAGACTAATTAGCATGTCTTATTATAGTTTGTGGTTATAATTTTAATATTAAATTTAAGGTCAATGTCAATGAAACATTGTTGAAGTGTCTTTTGGTTTCAGAAGTTCACTTAAGTTATGTGTAGATTATAATGAAATTTTAATCTTTTTAGAAATTATAACCATTTTAAACATATTATTCTTTCTTGTTATGTCTTTACAATATTGTATATTGAATAATATGATCATACATTAGCAATATCCTTTTTTTATGTAATTATAAGTTTTTAGTACTTTAAGTGATATTTTACTTGGTTAAATTTTCTCCATTACTTTGTAGGTAATCAAGTAATGATTAATATGTAGTACAAACTTGTTATTATGAACTACACCTCCAACTCTAGCCCTGTTTATAGGAGCTATTTATAAAATTTGTTTATATGTTAACTACAATTAATTATTTAAATTATGTGATGCAAAATAAATAAACAAACAATGCGACGTAATAAAACGAGAAAGTAATGATTTTATTCGACGAGAATGAAATTATATTGAACGTTCACGCAATTATTTTTTTTATAAGCAATATTACAGAAAAAAAATATAATCATCTTGACTTAGAAACAATATAGTTAAATTATAATATTTCTGCGGATTTATGCTAAAATGCAATTATTAATCAATTGGTATATGTATAGCGTAAAGTGTGAAGAAAAGCGATCACGGCTTTTTTTTACATATACTAATACCGTAATGCGTTTTGTTGTAAACGTTTCGATTTGTACGATTTTATTAAAATGTTTATAAGGTGCTCCATAATTTCTCATTATAAATAACGCAAAAGTCCACGAATAACATAAAAAAAAAAAGAGTTGATACTGCTGACGGGTGTTCCACAGTTTTAAATGGGAATTTGAGAATATAAAATACAAGAGTTATTTAATTTATAACATCTGTATCAAACTAAAAATTCTTTAATATCAAATTTTGATGAAAATCGTAAGTTGCGGAAAGTAACCAGACTTGCTCAGAATCTATTTTCGTTAACAACGATTTATTATTGCGTACAGATATAAATTAAACAACTATATACCTTTTTGAACTTTCCACCTACAATGACAGTACACCCATCAACCGTATTAGCTCTTTTTTAAATTTTAGTTTCTGAACTTTTAAGAACTGTATTGAGTTTACTACTGATAAGATAAGACATAATTATACAAAATCTTATTAATGATACTTATAATTTTAATTACTTACTTTTTTTAATATTCCTAGCTATTTATGAATACAATAAAAATTTGGCCTCGTACATAAATGCTCGACAATTTGATACAACGTTTGTCATCATCATCATCATCGTATCATCTTACTGGTCATAAAAAAAAAAAAAACTAAGCGTATTATCATATTTTTTTTTTGTTTATAAGCACTTCAGTTCAAATTTTAACGGAACTCGTAAAAAAATCACAAACAATTTTTAATTATTTCGTAGTTCGCAATATTAATAAAATTTAAAATTCAAATTTATAAAAAAACGCGCGTTAATAAAGCACCGCTCAGAATAGTATTTTACTGTTGCAACGATAATTTACCGTTGCTTTCATTATAAAAAGCGTATAAAAACTAAATCCCCTAACGTACCAACTTCCCACCTATATAACTGCCGGGTCTTTTTTTCCCACATTTTTTTTTTCCTGTCCACGTTCGAATAGCAAAGTTTTAATTTTAATTAAATTTTGAATTCACCGTATACTATATAATGTGCATCACGCAGCCTTCTGACGTGCCCTTGGGCCCCCAAATATTATACGTATCGCTTCATAATTTATTTGGGGACATAACGTTAACACAATGTGCTAGAAACACAGGGATGCTGCTAAACCTTATACCATAGTACTACGAGTACCATATACCGTGTTATGGATTTACACGCTTTAGTGTTTGCGGAATATTTTAAAAGGAAACGGGCAACAGCCCGCGCGGTCACATTAAACTTACATCAACAACCCAACCATATAATTAGAATTGCGTTATGTATAATAATAATATTATGATAACGTAATATTATACTTAAACGAGTATTATAGTATTATTAGTCTTTCGATTTACAATATATTCTATTATTGAATACTCGCGTTGATAGTCTTCACACAAAAATTTAAAAAAAACTCACGTGAACAGTAAATCTTCGGCGACGCATAACCTAGATGATAAAAAAGTAATCAACTGATAAGATAAAAGTAATTTTTTGTTCAAACACAGACGGTATTACAGCACCAATACTAGTACATCAGTATTTAAACAATTCGTTTCTTTATGAAATTAAGTATTTAAACCTGATTGTCCTAATTAATCATATTTAGTTTTTTAACTCTAGTTTATTATAATTTTAATAATCATAGTAACTATGAAAAAAAATGAAAAAAAATATCAACTGTTGATATATTTTTTTTTGGAATATCTGAAATAAAAGACACCCAAATTTATATGGTTCATAATTATTGAAATGTTGCATTGCTTCTTTTTGGCATTGATTACTATTGTGTACTTAGTATTAAATATCCAGTCTCTCCAATTAATTTTGAATATTGGTTTTTAAATTATTACTTTTAGCCTTTAGATAATTTAACAAATTTCTTAAATGGTTCAGAATTTTTTTTGCCACCATAATTATCGGTTAAGAGGAAAAAATACCCAAAGTAATATCATCCTGATTTAGATGTTGAGCATATCAACCAACAATACTTCTCAAAGTAGTTACGTCTCGAAAATCGTTTTTATTCTTTACCTTGCTACTTGTGAACCGAAAAAGGATATACACAATTTTCTGGTGTTTAAAGACTATACAATTGAATTCGGTATAATCTTTCAGTGGTTCACCAGTGGTTATGCGAACAAAATTTTAAAAGTGAAGTATGTTATCTTTTATTAGAATTCATTCTGAGAATTTTTATACTGACTTATAGGGACCAATGAAACTTACAACGTTAAAATAACATAAAAAAAAGTTTGAAATGATAAAACATAGTAATTAATTAATACTACAAACATTTATTATCATGTTAACCAAGGTAATTTTAATCTATCAAGACGTTGAACTGTTTTAATCCCACCGTCTTCTTTTATCTGAAACTTTTATCAACCTATCAATGCAAGGTGCATTGATATCAATACACCTTGCTAAATTTTAAATTAGTAGTATGCATTTATATTTGTTAATATATTATTCTGTGGTTTATTTTATCATACAGTTATATTCAGTAATTGAAATAAATTAAATATATTTTTCAACCGTGATATTCTGATAACTAATAAAACTTTTTGAAAAAAATCGTTAACACAATTTTATTTTTTATTTTTCCATTGAAAAATATAAAAATACAATTTCAAACTTATATTTTAATTATATTTTACATAAAATCTATACACTAAATATATAAAAAAAAGATCCAGAAGATGTGATAGCCCGCTCTCCAAATGCTCTCCCAAATATACTCCCTTTTTCTCGCACCGTGATTGACCGTATTTGCGGTGACTGGAATAAAATACGAATTAATTTATTTAATTTAGTAATTTGAATATCTGATCTCCAATAATGGAGGATTTTAATTTACGCCATCGAAAAACCGGGCAATAAATTATCTACAACCATTTATAATCATTGATAGGATAGCGGACCACAAAATAATATTATACCGTTTTCCATCTGACTAAGCTCACTAAACTACTGCACTACTACACTATTACTACGCTGACTGCTCTGATACCTTAGATGTAATCTTGTTAAAATCAATCCATGTATCTATGCATTAAGAACCACTATTTGAACTCGATTCAGATCATTTACCTGTTAAAATTATAATAGATGCGTCCTTATCATTCTCTATACCTACCCGTAAACTCATTACCAGTAAACCAGATTGAGAAAAATTCAAACAACATATCACCCAAAATCTTAACATTCCCAAAAATATCTTTAACATTTCCAAAGCGGACGATACAGTAAAATATTTACGTGAAAACATCTGCCAAGCAGCCAAAATATGCTCAAATAATAAAAAAAAAAGCGATAACGAATTATAGTTCAAACGAACTTCCCCTCACAATTTTAAAACTAAATAAATTAAAACATTCAAACCAGGAAAATATGGCAACTGTATAAACAACCTCAAGACCGAAAAAATTAAATTACCTAACAAAAAGGTTAAAAACTCACTCGAAGAACACAGAATTGATTCTTACCAAAAATATCTGTCTACAATACACCTAGCTGACTCCAACCTTTAGATAGCAACCAAAATATAATTAAAAAAATTTCCAATGTAATCCCTCCCTTTAAGAGCAGGAAATGTACATCTTAATATAGATAACGATAACTACGAACTATTTGCTCACACCCTTTAAAATGATTTCACATTAAATAGCCCACTAAATAACTCGACAAACAATCTAGTCCAACAAAAACTAAGTGAACCCAATATTCTCCCCCAAAATATATATTACCGAGCTCAAGTCCTGAAGAAATTTTGGGTATAATCAAAAAATTACCAAAACGGAAATCATCCGGACACGATTTGATTACAAATACTATTCTAAAAAATATCCCTAGGACAGCTATTATATATTTATCAATATTATTCAATTCCCTAATAAAAATTGGATGGAAATTGGATGAAAAATGGAAAATGGCAACAATCGTTTTGTTCAAAAAGTCAGGTAAAGATAATTCCAACCCGAGTAACTACAGACCCATTAGCCTTCTGTCTTCAGTTTCAAAAATATTTGAAAAAATTATACACCCAAAGCTTACCAATAACTTAAATGCGATAAATGCTATCCCACATTTTCAATTTGGATTTAAATCGAATCATTCCACTATCCAACAACTTCTGCATCTAACTGAACATATTAACAATGGTTTTGAAAAAAAACATTATACGGGCGCAGCCTTCTTAGACGGAGCCCAAGCATTTTATCGGGTCCGGCACGACGGACTTTTATATAAATTAAAAACTTTAAACATCCCAGCTGCAATATATAAACTAATTAAATCTTATCTCTCCGAGCGCTGTTTCAAAGTCCGAATAAACGAAACCACATCGGAAACAAAACTAATTCACGCAGGTGTACCTCAAGACTCAAAATGTTCACCTATACTTTTTAACTTATACGTTTCGGATTTTCCTACAACGAATAATACTGAAATAGCACTGTATTCTGACGACAGTGATATATACTCTAGCACTAAGGACGTCGAACCAATAACACAGAATATTCAAGCACATCTGAACGAAATCCAAAAGTGAGAAGAAAAATAGAAAATAAAACTAAACCCTCAAAAAAGTATAGCGGTCCTCTTCACCAACCGTCACCCTAAAACTCCTGATAATTTAAAACTATACGATAATAGTATTCTATGGTAATCTAATATCAAATACCTTGGTGTAATTTTGGACAGAAAACTAACTTAGAATCTACATATCTCCTCCAAACTGCAACAAGGATACTTGAGGCTAAAAATTCTTTACCCTTTGATCAACTGACAAACCTCATTAAGCTGGAGATTTTCCCTTATGTTATGTAAAATCTTACGGCTATTACTTTTATATATAGTCCCTGTGTGGGGAAAATTGCGCTAAAACCCACTGACACAAAATAAAAGTTTTCCAATCGAAAGTCCTGAGGACAATTTCAAATGCCCTCTGGTTTGTTCGGAATGCTGCACTTCACAACGATTTTCAGCTACCCGCAGTATCAGAGTTCATAAAAAAATTAACTATCAACTATTTCAATCACATTAATTCTGCTAGCAGTGTGAAATTTTACCAAACTAAGCAACCCGCCTACTATACGCCGTTTCAAGCATGGACGCCCGCAAAATCTGCTTTTATAACCTAATCACATTCTTTCCTTGTAAATATTAAAAGGTGAATTGTATATATTTTTGTATTCTATAGATTTTTAAGTTTTGGTTTAACTTGGTAACATTATCTTCTTGTATCTTCTTCTATTGCTATTCTTTATTGCCAATTGTTTTTCTAAGGTTAAACATTTGCCTATTTTATGTTAACACATTAACATTAAGTTTAGACGACTAAGTCACGGAAACTTTATAAATAAAACATTTGAAAAAAGAAAAAACGTTGATTACAATACACGCGGTATAATTTGAAAAGAAACATAAATACACAATTGTCGTACTATCGTAGTATATCCTTAATTTAATAACAGTGTAATACATTGAATCACAAAATAGATAAAAAAAAAAAAGTGATTGAATAAACAACATTCGTAAAAAAAACTATCTGAGTGACGTTTTGGATGAATTAATATTTTTAGTGTAATTGCAAGTTGTGCAGTCTAAATGTTTTTACATAATTACCACTTAAAACACCACATAATTATTAAACATACATTTGGCGAGTACCTAATAACAAAACTATTTCTGAAGCTATATAAATTGCACAATACATACAAATTCGACTTGGAACAGTCGAAACGTACAATATTCTAAAACCCTTTCAATAGATTTATCATTTGGTAGAATTATTTGGAAGGCAAGGTCTGTCCCTCGATTCAGAAGATGGTTATTTTTTTGGTCATAGTTTTTTATTATTATTATTATGATTATTGAGTATTGCAGTCGAAAGTCATCTCATATAGGATCGTCCGACAATACCCGTCGATAAATATGTATATAACGGAGGTCGACATCTCTACGGCTCGATTTGATTTAATAAAGACCGGCCACCACTAACCCGCGTAGTAATGTACATTTTGGTGCGGTAAACGTGCTGACTGTTCTCGTCTGTCTCAAAAGTGTCCGTTTGCCAATATAGGTACTAACGGTTCGTTTATCCGATCAAGCCGAATATTTTAACGTCTAACCTTTGTCATTTGTCGTCCCTCGTCAATCGTCGGTCGTCTTTAAATTAAATAGCTGGTTAGTAGTAGGTATATAATACGAATAGTGTGAATATAGTGGCCAATAAGTAATCAAAAGAAAAAAATTACAGAAGTTTTATAAAACCACGTTCGAAAAAACGAAGAAGATAATAATGACGATAAATAAAACATTTTTTCGAAATCTATTTTGTGAGCCGTTAAAAAAAAATATAATAACAAATTCTAACGAGGTCGAGTAAAAATAACTTAATTAAGTCTATCTAAATTATTTAAATTTTAATCTTAATACTAATAAATCGTTTTTAATATAACGTTTAAAATGAAATTATATATAATTATATATTCTCACGTAGAGTTTTTGCTCCGTTTTTTTCCGCTTTTTTTAAATACATGAGTGTTATATTTTCAAAAAAAAAAAAAAGGACAGACATGGTTTGCACATGGGTGCAGCCACTGTTAGGTAGGAAATTGGGAAGGTAGGATACATATAGGAATTTAATGTATATCTGTAAGGAACGATAAACCATTGCTAACGAAAAACGATTCTAATAGGAATTCAGTTGATAGTGTTGCTTTATCGACAATTAATATATGTCTTATTATGGTAAAATGATTACAACAATGTGCGTTTCCATGACAACAATGATTGTTTAAAAAATATTAAAATAATTAAAACTTAATAACACAAAATAAATTAAAACAGTTGCCCATGACAACTTTCTTTTTAATCTTTCAATCATTATTAACCTAAAGAACCAGGTTTTTCTCATTATTTCGATCTTAATGAGAATTGCAAAAAATAACCTCTTTAAAGTACCACCCAGAGAATATTTCCTTTCAGAAAAGGTACTATACTTGATAATCGGATAAAATGTTCTGGTAGAAAGTGTTCACATGGAAAAAAAAATAAACATTTTTGTAAAAGCAATAGATTCTTCGCTAAACTCGAAATCTAAAAATAATAATCAATAAATAAAACAAATTGAATAATATTTTTTCAGTGGTGCAGTAAAATAAACAATTGACGGACAAAAGGATGTTAACTTAAGTAACCGGTTTTAAACTTAACTAAACATAATTTTGTAAAATCGGTTTTATTACTAAATAAGTACACTTAGCATTAAGCAACACAATATAAAAAAAAATAGACATACATAGCACGGGGGTGGACAACTATTTTAGGAGAGAAGTTGAGAAGGAATAGAGGAAATTTAATGTATACCTGTACGCAACTATTAACCATTGCTAACAAAAAACGATTCTGAGCGGAGTTCAGTTAATAATGTTGCCTTGTCATAATATGTCATATTATGGTAAAATAATTAGGTACATATGCATTATACGCAATAATTTGTTTAATATTGTACCTATTTTCCCATTTTTTCTACTTTTTTTCCCGGTTTTTCACATTTATTGAGAAAACTCCTGGAAAAAAAAAATCTCGTTCTGCTCTCTAGCATCTGAACGATAAGATACTTGCCGACGAGATGGTGGATTTAAAGACGCAGAACCGGTTAAAATATAACAGAAATACATTGTTGATGTATTTCGTATCACCATAGGTTGACGATTGTTGCAGTTGAAAAGTCGGGAAAGACGTGTTATGTCCAAAATATTATTTTCGTATATTGCGCTTATCGATTCTTACTATACCTACACATTTTTTTTTTGTAAAGGTAAAATTGTTTATTGAATTTTCTTAATGACTATTAAAATTAGTAGGTACCTACGATTAATAAAAACCGCTACAAATATAAATTAATTACATTATTATTATTATACTTGTATGATGTATTAATTGCACCCGTTGGTCCCTTTCTCCGGTAAGAAGAAGAGAGAAGAGAACACAGTCTCCAAAGCCACAGTTTGTATTTCAGTGTAGCAATAATATATAGTAAAAGGTATTATAAATTCATTTTGACGACATTTTCGGAATTTCGGTACATGGACGACTTAATTTCGCAATGTTATAAATTGCGAACTAAATAATTCTGACGATATCTTCTTTTATATTCGTTTTCTTTTTTCTGCGTACGTGGATCGGTTCTCGGCAACGGCTGTTAAATACTTACGCGGAGTAAACCCGCTGTAGGCGCGTCATCAGATTCGACGATCACGTAACGATTTTCCGGGTAAAGTGTCTACCTATAATTAAATCTATTAATCTGTTTTTGGAAACCGTTGTGTTTTGTGCGCGATTGTGTAATACTCACATAATAAGTCTATTTTCACACGCGAGAAGTAATAAGATACCCATATCTATAATTAAATCTAATAATCCATTCGTAGAAATCGATTTTGGCAATAAATAACAAAACATTATTTCTGAGAAATATAATATTTATAGACACTGTAATTATTGTATTATTATATTTTAAACTGAATAACTATATAAAAAAAAAAAAACAACAAAATTGAAAATAATAAAAACATTATTTTCGTGAACTGTTCCGTTCTTCTTGCGTATTTTTTTTTCGAGATCTGCTCAATTTTAAAAAAAACTACAAAGATAATCAAAAGCTGTTTTTTTACTCCCCGACTACATAGAAAAATTCAACAAAAAGATCTCGTGTTGTTTTTCTATTTAGAGCAATTATATTTCTGGTAGAAAACATAAATTAATAATTAGTAAACAAATTTTAAAAAAAAAGAGCTTATACTGGGAATGGGAGTGGCCACTGTTGTTGGTGCGAAGTAGGGATGGTAGCATCCATAATGTTTTCATTTATATCTATAAGCAACGATAAACTACTGCTTGACAAAGGACAATTCCGAGCGTAGTTCGGTAATAAATAATTTGAAGTGCCGTAATTTTTTCTTGCTATTTTCGTTTGAATTTGATTTTAAAACGTTTATTAGAATATAAGTAGTCCGGTTTTAACTACATCGAAAAATCACTTCCTTAAAGTATCCCCCCCCCAGTCAAATTTCCTTTTAAAAAAATCGCTTTCATTATAAATCGGAACACAATAATTGCTGGTAGAAAAGTTGTCCACAAAAAAAAAAATCCTAATTATATACTAATATATTTCGTTCATATTTCCGTTTGTTTGGTTTTTCACATTTGATGAGAAAACTTTTGAGAAGATCGAAAAAAAAACATTTCTTGAAAAGTACCCCCCCACACCGATTTTCTTTCAGAAAAGGTGCTTCACGTAAAAATCGGAGCAAGTTTTCCACAACACTCGTTTTATATTCGAAGAGCGGGAAAATTTTAAATTAACAAACCAAGGATTATTAATCGTTTTAGAATTACAGTTTTAAATTTTCATTTTAAAAACCGGTTCATCACTACACAAAAAAAAAAAAAACCCAAACGGTGCCTTTTCTATATTTTGTTATCATACCGTGGTTTCAAGCGTAATGGTTCGGAAAGTACGTCATGCATTTTTAAAGGCGG